AGGCCTTACAGGCAAAAACTGGGGTTTCTCAAAGAAGAAATTCTGCCTCAAGACTGTAGCAGCAGCTCCTATCCAAGTTTCCAGCCTCCAGGCCTGCTCTGCAGATGCCCACAATTGTGCAAGCCAATTCCTTAGAACAAATCTCTTAACAGACATGCACTGCCCAGGTGTGGTGGTGCACACCTGTAATCCCAGCACTTTGTGAGGCCAAGGTGGGAGGATCACTTAAACTCAGGAGTGAATGAGAGGGACAATGGAGACAGAGGTACATGCTTTTCTTTTGAGAGATTTCAAAAAGGAATTGGGGGCCAGGCATGGTGGCTCACGCCTGTAATCCTAGCACTTTGGGAGGCCAAGGTGGGTGGATCACTCGAGGCCAGAAGTTCGAGACCAGCCTGGCCAACATGGTGAAACCCTGTCTCTACTAAAAATACAAAAATAAGCCAGATGTGGTGGTGTGTGCCTGTGGTTCCAGCTACTTGAAAGGCTGAGGTGGGAGGATCGCTTGTGTTAGGGAAGCAGAGGTTGCAGTGAGCCAAGACTGCAGCACTGCACTCCAGGCCGGTGCAACAGAGCAAGACCCTGTCTCGGAAAGAGAGATTATGTACATATATCCCATTGGTTCTGTTTCTCCAGAGAACCCAGACTAATGCCCCGTCTTTTACATATCAGGGGGCAAAATGAAAAATTTCTCTCTCAGCACGCTAAGGAAAGATGGGTAAAGAAAGGTTGAAGGTAGACATGAATTTGTCACTGGCTTCCAAACAGAAAAGTCAAGTCTTTGCCCAAAAGGCAAGCAGCTATAGCTCCATCGTGTCTCTTACCTTTGTCCCAGCAATTGTGGAATGGCCCAGGACGTTGCCTTCCTTGTCCATGACCGCAATCCCCTTAATGGATTCAATATTTCGGGTCATGTAGACATTCATTCCACTGGCTTGCACTGTAGATGTAAAGAAGTAAAGAACACCCAACATGGGGGTGAGTCTTGTTCCAGCAAAGGAACATCTCTTTGGGTGTCTGCCTACTGCAAGCCTCTTACTCTGACAGCTGGCCTTTCTCGGCCCTCAGGTGGACACCTGCCACAGGCTGGGCCAACCAGGTGCTCTCCTGGGGCTGTGGAAGTAGGCTCAGAGCTGCTGACCACTCAGTCTTGGATCCTGACCACAGCCTGGGACCAGCTTCCAGCACCCCTGCTTCCTTACCGGATTCCAGGAGAAACCCTGGGATCCTGGAAACATATCCCTCACCTTTGCTTAAGTTGTAAGGTTTCCTTTTCTTTTTTTTTTTTTTTTTTTTTT